AAGACCAACTTCTACTTGATGGTTATCGATACCGTCGGGATAGATTATAGTTTGGCGCTGTGTTACAAACAACTGCAAAGGACGTGCTCGTTATGATGATGGAATTTATACAACTTATCAAGATCACATATGTCGAGCACCAGATCCAGATGAAATTGAAAAAGCATTATATAATTATGAAATTAAAAAGAATGCGCAACAATGTCATGATCCACCACGATTAATCATTCAAAATGCTCGTCTTAAAATATCATTAGATGCTGCAATTAACATTCCACAATACACAGCATCGCAACGTTCAATTCAACGTGTTAGATGAGATAAAGATGTTCAAACAGCATCTAAAACATTTGCAGATATTATTATACCATCAAATTATCAAGTTAATGCATTAAATGAACAATTTCTTTTATATGATAATAATGACAATCAACGACGAATATTAATCTTTGCTACAAAACAACATTTAGATTTTCTTAATGAATGCGAAAGTTGGCATTGCGACGGCACTTTTGCCGTAAGTAGTATAGGTATAACTAAAGTAATTTTAATATGTTTCTTTATTTGCAGGTAGCACCTAAGCTATTTGAACAAATGTATTCTATTCATGGTTCAATTCGTGGTAAAAAATTACCATTATTATATTCACTTCTACCAAATAAAGATCAAAAAACTTATGAAGAATTATTTCGAATAGTGGCTCAACATGTTTGATGAAAACCTGATTATATTACCATCGACTTTGAAAAAGCAGCAGAAAATGCATTTAATGTTATATATCCAGAATGTGAAATTCTTGGCTGTTTTTTTCATTTTAAAAAATGTATTTGGAAACATATTTGTGTAAGTAAACTAATTATTTCAGTTTACCTTATTAAATAATTATTTTGTAGGAATTACATTTAAAAAAAGAATTTCTGGAAAACCAAAATAGTCGTCAAACTATGAAAAATTTAGCAGCATTAGCTTTTGTTCCACCTAATAATATTGTTGAAGAATTTTCACGCATAAAAGAAAATGCATCTGATGTTTTAGATGGTAATAAACTTTATATATTAAATTTTTATTACATATTGTCAAGTTTTAGATTTGATTTTGTATTTCGAAGATAATTTTATTGGAAGAACAATGACTCGCAATCGCAGAAAAAATCCTCGATACGATATCACTATGTGGAATTGTTTCGAAAGAATCAACGAAGATTTATCTCGAAGTAATAACGCCATAGAGGGATGGCATAATGCTTTCCATGTACGTTTAACTAAACTTCTTATTTTTGTAATTAAGTATCTCATATTTAGAATGTTGTCGGCGATCATCCTAGTTCTTTTACATTTATCAAAGACATTGTACGAGAAGAAAAAAATACAACAATTGTTTGGAATCAAGTTCTTGCTGGCACACACACACAAACCAAACGCACAAAATATGAAAAAATTGATCTTCGAATACGAAACATGGTCAAAGAATTTCATACTGTTTCAAGGAACGACTATTTTAAAACGGCCAGATCAATATTTAATTTCTGAATGACTACGTTCTTTATTCTCAATTATTGTTCACTTAGCGTATTTGTTTGTTTATTATAAATAAATACTATTTATCTCTGTTAATAATTTATATCAATATATTTTTTGCAATTGAGAACTATTTTTCTATCAGCAGTTAAACATAAATTTCCGCCAGTTCATAATTCAAATCAAATTTAAGAAAAAAATAATTTATCATCTTTTTCTCAATTCGCGCGAAAGTGTCTATACGCGCAATCGTCGTGCGCGTAAGTGTCATGCGCGTAAGTGTCGGCGCGCAATTGTCATGCGCGTAAATGTCGATCAATCGTTATGGAGTATTGAATTATGTTCTTATGTCTATTATTATTCCAATAACTTTCTCTAATAAACAGTACCGATGACAGCGAGAAAATAATATCGATGAAGTAGGAAAATTAATTAATTAGTCTTAAGTTATCGATGAAACAGGACCGAAACTCATTGTTCAATCACTCGAATTATCTAAATATACAACAAGTGACTTTAAAAAAGACTGACGAGGGAACTACTCCAATTGACATTCGCCGTTTGAGCTCATGTCGAACCCACAGCTAGGTCTCAGTGAGAATAGTAAAAGCCTAAAAGAATTCGTCCTGACAGAATTTCGATCTTAAATTTTCTTTATAAGTTTAATGACTCTTAGAATATGTTGAAAACTTCAGCCGAAAAGAATGTTTCTTCCTCAAAATATTGAATTTCCAAAAATAGCTCTTTACTACCCATGGACTTAAAAAATCAAAAAAATTACATTTCTGTTAATGCTATTTTTAATCCATATCATACAATGAAATTAATGAAAATGTCTATTTTAATGCCATTTTTTGATTTTTTAACTCTCTGGGTTTGAATAGTTTCTTTGTAAGAATAAAATTACTGACTTTATTTAATATTAGTTTAATCAGATAATATTAATGTTTTAATAGGTGAATATTTTTATATTTCAAATGTTTTTCTATGATATTATTTCCATTATTTTTGTTTCATCATTTGAAATGTTAACATACAAATCATTGACAATAACTATCTATGCCACATTGTAAGAAGCAATTGTGTTATATTATGATTTTTCATGATAATGATCAACAATTATCTTTGACAGAGCGGTCCAAAACATACTTGATTGAAGAAAAAAATTGAATATTTTCATTATATTTTGATCAAATAGAATAATATTTTTATGATCAACAAAGAAATATTCATAGCTCATATTTACGAAAAAAAACATGTTAATAAAACTATTTTGAAGCACTCTACAAATCACTTCAATAAATAACAGTAAGTGCGCACTACTTATGAAACTAAATATATTTATTTGCTAGCTAAAAATAACAATGCATGTAATGTTTTTGATTCATTCTTGATATTATTATTGTTCATTCTTTGTATTCATTCCATAGGTACATGTCGAGTTACTCAGTATATGCTGAAAGTTTTAACTATAAATAACGAAAATCTAATGAGAAAACTACAAAATTGTCAAATGTAGTCTAGGATAGTTGTAACTATAATCCGTTCATATAATTAGTTGGTTATCATTTCTGGTTCATTTTAAATTCTTAGATACTAATTAGGTATCTTTTGGAATTTTAGGAAGTTAAGTAGCATCAAAGAACTCTAATTGAACTAAAAAAGATAATGAACTAATCATAAGAACAAATCGTGGTTACAATCATCCTAGATTGCACGTGACCCTTTTGTATTTTTCTCATTCCATTCTTGTTATTTATAGTTGAACCTTTCAGCATACACTCAGTAACACGACATGCACCTTTAGAATAAATGCAAGAACCGAACGATAATAATGTCAAGAATTAATTAAAAAGATTACATGCATTGTTATTTTTAGCTATCAAATAAATATATTTAGTTTCATACGTTGTGCGCACTTACTGTTATTTATTGAAGTGATTTGTAAAGTGCTTCAAAATAGTTTTATTAACATGTTTTATTTTTTTTTATAAATATGAGCTATGAACATTTCTTTGTTAATCATAAAAATTTTATTCCATATAGTTAAAATATGATGAACATATTCAATTTTTTCTTCAGTTAAGTATCTATTATTCGCAATAAAAATAATCATTCATTTATAAAATAAATTGAATTTGTGAGATTTTTTTCTTAAAGAAAAATGTACTCAAATATAAGATTTATTAAGCTATCGTTTGTAGATAACAAAAATATTTTAACTTGCACAGAGTAAAAACAAAGCAAAAAACAATCATCATAATGAAATCGGGAAAAAAAAGGTATACTCGATGAACTTTTCTTTTTCTCTTAATTAATAATGTAATAGCATGGCGAACACAGGGAAGTCTAATAAAGTGTTGTACGTTAACGTCAATTTTAAAAAAAAACAGAAGAGAACAACTTAAGTACTTCTCATTAGAAGAATATACATGTTACATTTCTAACAGATATGATGGTTTCTTTGAAATAAAGAAATGATAAAATATGTAAAAATGACTAACGAGAGAACATTTGCAGGTGTCAGAATGTTTTTCAGTTTGGGTTTTGTGCATCTTATAGCCTTTAGTGAGTTGTGTCTATAGCAAAAGAAGTTTGGATTTCTGACTTGTTTCTGAGGAGATCGAACGTTTTTAGTTCTACGACTAGGGAGGTTCATAAGATTTCAACCACGTTGTACAAAAACGATCTTCAATTTCGATGTAACTTTCAGTATTTGTAGAGCTTGTAATTTTGAGTAAAAAAATTTCAAATCGCTTTTGTTTTGATGGTGATACACTCAAAATATTGTAAGCAGTAAAAACCGAAAAATTCTCAGGAAAATTTTTTGCAGAGTTTTTCGATTTTTACTGCTTACAGTATTTTGAGTGTATCTCCATCAAAACAAAAGCGATTTGAAATTTTTTTACTCAAAATTACAAGCTCTACAAATACTGGAAGTTACATCGAAATTGAAGATCATTTTTGTACAACGTGGTTGAAACCTTATGAAACTTCTCAGTCGTAAAACTAAAAACGTTCGATCTCCTCAGAAACAAGCTAAAAACCTGAACTTTTTTTTTTATCATAGACACAGCTCATTGAGGGCTACAAGATGCACAAAACCTTCACTGAAAAGCGTTCCGACACTTGAAAATGTTCACTCGTAAGTGGTACTTAGTAAAATTTATAAATAAAATTAAATATATTTTCTTACAAGTCTGAAAAGGATCCTTTTTTTTAGGTTAACAGACATTTTAATCACATCATTATAATAGCATTATGAAAGAAAAGTTTCTCTCCTTTATTCCTTGTTGTCATCTTCAAGTAAGTCAGACAAAATCGACATTATTCAAAAAATCATTTTTTTAATTAATTAAACTCAATTAATATCATGAAGGAGAATATTTGAGAAGTTCAGAAAAATCATAAACAAATATAGAATCATTCAAAATTTCTCTAGTCATATTCCCCAAAATTAAACTTTATTTGTACATATCAATGACATCTTCTTCGAAAGTTTTTTTTTTTTCATCAGGTTTATTAGTCAAAGAAAACATGATTGACCCATACAATACATAACAAAGAGAAAATAATTAAAAATTGATTATGAGTTAAAGAAACACGATTATACTAAAAAAAAAAATAATGTAATAGAAATGAAAATGCTCAGCATATTCATAATTAGTTTATTTTACAAACAAAAGTCCAAACGACTTATGACATATAAAGAGCAGTGTGATTGATATTCTCATCGGCTTCGATCTATATTTGATTAAGAGAATAATGAATTTTTGTAAATAATTCTATTTATATTCTGAATAGCATCAGAACTCTTTGTAATGAGACTTGTTTTTCTCTACGATTCTATCATTAAAACGATACAACGAATGATTCATTTTATCCATTCATGCTATCTTATGGATCAAAAGTATAATTATTTATAACAACTTTTGTGTCATCTTCATCACACAAGAGATTGAGGAGAACGCCTACACAGATGTGTCTTACACAATTACATACGCACTCGAAATGCTTAATCCATGCAATATTGCACAAGGAAAGAATAAAATAGTAAAATCTCTATACTGTTGTATCTGAATAACAAAGGAAAAAAGAATTGAATATTTATCTAAGTATGTATGGAATAGATGCTAAAAATAGTTTATTCAGTAAAAAGTCAGTTGTAATGAGATGATCAAACTCTATTATTATGAGTACTTGTCATGTGAAGTTATTGTTTATATTATTACTGAGAATGGCGAAGTAATATATTTTTGAACATTTCTTTTTTTAGTTGTTAGATTAAATTAGACATGCATATTCTTTTTTTTATAATTGAACAAATTCTTCAACCAATGTTAATCAAAATAATTTACGTAAAAGAGAAAAAAAAACTGCGTGAGTCACGATACTAATTATCTGAATGTTTCAATAGAGTTAATGAAAATCTTCTTCTTTCATTTAAGTAAGATATCATACATATCCTCTAGTTTTTATTTGAGTCTTTTTGATATTAAAAGTGGAAATGGATTCTTCAGATATTTTTTCTATCGAGTAATATCAACTAATAAGATTATTCTATTTTTCATTATTTTACTATTTAACAGAATTTA